GCATGCCCGGCGCCCGGATCGCAGCCCACCTGGACGCTCTGGGCCCCCTGGTCTCGCACGTGCAGCCCCCGCTGCCGTCCTCTATGTTCTACGTGGGCCTGTTCTTTGTCAACGTGCTGATCCTCTACTACGCCTTCCTCATGGAATACATCGTCCTCAACGTGGGCCTCGTCTTCCTGCCCGAGGACCTGGACCAGGCGCTCGTGGACCTCGGCGTGCTCTCCGACCCCGGCTCCGGCCTCTACGAGGCCGACTCGGAACTCGACGTCTTGGACGGGTACTTGGAGTAAGGGTCTTGACTGCTATCCACCTTCTCGTGCCCTCCACGACCTGCTACCCTCAGCCTGGACCTGCTGGCCTCATTATGCCGCTGCTTTTGGTTGGGGGCACCCTCTGGACTCGGATGGGACCCCAGGAGGAGGCCCTCCAAGGTCTGTAAGTGCCCCTTCGGGAGGAGGGTGGATTGGGGAGAGGGAGAGGATGTTGCCCCCAGGGCAGACACTAGTCTGACTCCTAAGCCATCTCCTCCAGGTCTAATTTGGATGCCAGGAATGCCCATCTATGTTAGGCCTTCCGCTGGGGCTGGAGAGCTTCTCTCCTCAAAGGGGACAGCTGTTGAAGAGGGAAGACCTAGGGCCTAAATTACATTTGGGGGTAGTCCTGAACTTTGCTCAATGTTTAGAGCAGAACTGTCAGCCTCCTTTCCCCCACCCCTCCATGCCCCTCCCCAGCCTGTCTTGATAATGAATGACCTTGGCTTTGGGGAGAATCTCACTAGTCTTGAAAGGATAAACATTTGGGGATGGCAAAGGGGTAAGAAGCCAGGCACCCTTCACCTTTGAAACATAGTTCCTGGGGGGGACTGGATGGGGAATTGAGGACAAGGGGCACAGGCCCGCGAGTCTTCTGCAAAGAAGCCTGCACTTCCTTGCATCTGCCACTGATTTGGAGTCAGGTTTCAGGGTGGCCAGCGTCAGTTCTGCAGCTCAGATCTGCAGGAGCTGCCAGCTTTGCAAGCTGCCTTCCCAGAACCAGGCTGGCGCTGGTGCCCAGGCTGGCTTTATCTGCAGGATCTGTAAGACCTTGGGGCTGTAGAGTCAGCAGGTGAAGACCACAGGATCATTGCACCGTGATGTTACAGTCCTGGCTCTGGGTTTCCTCTTGGAGCTTTGTGCCCAGCAAGTTAGAGGGAGGGCAATGAAAGCCCAGGAAGGAAGAAGACTGGCTAGAGCTACGGAACCAGGAAGAAGAGCACTTGGCTCCAATAAGAGAAAACACATATGCCAGGCAGCGGTCGGGTCCATGGAGTGGTCTTGGGGCAGGTAGAACTCCTTGGCTGAAAGCCCAACAGCCCAATGAGGCTGGAGTTATGCCAGGTGTGGGGCAGGGGCCCCAGGCAGGCAGTCTACACCTATCCTGAGCTGCCTATCTTTTGCTAATGTGCCCACAATCAGAGGTGTTATAGTTCCTTCCGGTCCAGTAACCAGTACCATAGGCTGAATGGCTCAAACAACAGTTTCTTTCTCACAGATCCCATTCACAAGGAGTCTACCCCCTTCACCTACCACTTCCAAAAGCTTCCTAGCATCATCTCATTGTGGGGATAGAGAATTTGGCATGAACACAAACCTCCACTCTGTGGCAGAGGCTGACGGAGGTTGGGCAAGACCTGCTGGTGGCTGTGTTGGGGGGCAAAGCACTCCCTAAGACATCATCTTTGGTTGAGCAGGGTCAAGTTCAAGGGAGGCCCTGGGCCAGCTGCTCTACATTCCTCTCCAGCCTATCTGCTGCCATCCAAGCCTTCACTCCTCAATGAGCAAAGCAGGCAGCGTGGGCACCCTGGCCTAGGGAGAATGAGCAGAAGCCACAATCAGACACGCAAGAAAAGACCCGAGCTCCCCCTGTGCATTCCGTTTCCTCACACTGGAAACAGTACCTGGTGCCTAAGCTATCAGCTCAGTGAGGGTCAAAGAAGGCCTTTCAAAGGGATGACGCATCCAGGCTGATCGAAGGAGCTAGACACGAAGATCCAGAGAAAAACAGTCCAGGCAGAGGGAGCTATTGGGTGCCAAGAACTGGAGATGGAGAGTTGGCTTGTCCACAACCCCAAGGAGGCCAGTGTGGTCCCTGGGAGGGGGCAGTGTTGGGCAGCAGGGAGCCACACCAGGCAGGAGATGAGCAGTGGGAGCCAGTGGAAGGCTGGAGGAAGGGGAGGCCTCGATACACATTTGCCAAGACTTTGGCAGAATGCACCAAAGGGGCAAGTGTTTCATCAGGAACCAGTGAGGAGGCCATTAAGCTGTCCAGCCAGAAGTGGCCAAGGCCAGCTCAGTGAAGATGGCAAACATGGGCAGGCTGAGGACACCTATCGAGGCCACCCCCCTTCCAAATCCATATACCACCCTGCTTCTAGATCCTTTGACGGTTACTCAGTCACTCAACAAACACTGGTCCTGCTACTGAACTGTGTGCTAGGCCCCTTGTGGTCCTGACAAGAACCTACCTCCAAGCCAAGCATCTGACTTTCAGGCAGCATCTTGTGAGGAACGTCTTATTTTATCCTCTCCGCATATCAACAGAAATACTTCCGCTTCCAAATGGAAACACTGGCATACGCGCAACCAAACACCAAAGCCCAAATGCTTTGACATCTTTTACAGCAAATGCTATTTGAGCACAAACGCCAGGAAGTGTTTCTTCGGTTACCCTTGACAAGCTTTCTGTGTGACAGGGCCTGGCCCCAGGAAGTGGGTAGGCTATGTGAAATACCCCACTTAGGCCTAGGACACACACTCCTCCACCCCCAAATCCAAGCAAGGAGGAGGCCCAGGAAGCCCTGACCTAGGGGTACAGGACTAGGCCGATAGCCCCAGGAAAACCACGTAAGGAAGATATGGAGGTGGTTGGATGGAACCTGGCCTCCACGCCCCTCTCCGTAGGCAGTGATCAAATCTCGCTCTCTCTTACTCATTTTCACCGGACTCATGCACTGCACACAAAAGACAGGAAGCACTGGCAAAGGGCAAGGGACTTGCCAGCCAGTGGGGTAAAGAGGTCAAGTTGAAAGGGGCCTTCATTTTTGCTCCGTCTCTCTCTTGAGTGTATGGCCTATAAAATTCAGCCCTTAAGCATTGACTGGATGCCTACTTAGGGCACTTATAGGGTGGTGAAGAGCCAGCGCCCTAGCTTCAGACTTCCTGGGTTCAGATCTCAGGCCTCACTTATGACTGGCTGCACTGTTCAACCTCCTTTTTCAGTTTCCTCTTCAATAAACAGATCGTGAAAATCTGCCCTGGGAGAAGATGGCTCTTCACGTAACTGCTGTTGTTAATGGTCAAGTGTGTGCGCATAAGCACTTGGAGAAGTGTAAACGTGCTCAACACACCATGTATCTGCACCCCTCCATGAGCAAAAGTTCTAGTCCCCTCCCCCCAGCATAGGGAGGTGTGAGTGCGCACTTCCCTTGGGCAGACTTCGCCGCGACCTTCCTGCCCTGGGAGCCTTGAGATCTTTCCCTCCACCCAGAGCTCTGGAGAGCCGGCTCTGCCATTTGCCTGCAGTGTTTGCAGCACCCTGCCAGGCGAAGGAGGACTTCATAGGGGTGTCTCAGCCTCCCTCCATCAACACTAACTCACCTTATGCCAGACATGCTTCATCTGTACTTTTTTTTTTTTTAGTTTTGGGATTTTATTTTTCCTCTGAGAGCAGGACTGGAACTTGGTAGCTGACGCTTTTGTCTTACTAGCTAGCACTCTACCATCTGAGCCATGCCTTCACCCCTCTAATAAACTTTTTTGTTGTTGTCGGTCGTGGAGCCTGAACTTGGGCCTGGGTGCTGTCCCTCAGCTCTGCAGCTCAAGGCTAGTGCTCTACCACTTGAGCCACAGTGCCACTTCTGGCTTTTTCTGCTTATGTGGTGCTGAGGAATTGAGCTCATGCATGTAAGGCAAGCACTCTACCAGAGTCACCTTCCCAGTCCCTAAACTTTTTTTTTTTCTGGTCATAGGGCTTGAACTTGGCTTAGGTGTTTTCCTTGAGCTCTTATTTATTTTTTTTGTTCAAGGCTAGTGCTCCACCACATTGAACCACAGCCTCACTTCCAGTTTTCTGGCAGTTAACTAGAGATAAGAATCTCATGGACTTTTTTGCCCAAGGCTGGTTAAGATCCTCAGTTCTCAGCCTCCTGAGTAGCTAGGAGTACAGGCATGAGCCACCGGTGCCTGGCTTCTTACAAATTTTTACTTTGGAATAATTCCACGTTTATAGAATAGTGTGTGTCAAGAACGCCGACAATTCCTATACACCTTCACCTGCATCTTCCCGCTGGGTTCTTGGTGTGAGTACATTCACGGGTATCTGTTAATGCATGTAGACATGTGCGCGACTATACTTCTAAACCACTTGAGAGTGGGCTGCATACCTTATGCCCCTATTTTCCTGAATATTCCAGTCTTTTTCTATAGAACAAATATTTTTATATATCTTACATTGTTTGTATTATATATTACATATTTATATAATACGTATATACCACGGTGCACTGATGCAGTCCTGGGATTGTCTGGTCTACTTTGTCCAGACTGTGACATCTGTTCTACAACTGTCCCTTAGCAGTGAAAAGGGGGTGAGGTGGGGTGCAGGGCCTGCCCCTAGACCGCCCTGGGCATTCACTGGGGGCTTTCCTCAGGCTGGAACAGCTGGGAGCCATCAGCATGCTGGCATTGCCTGCCTGGCATCTGGTAGCTGCCTCGGTTGGGTTTGGCAGGGATTTGTCCTCTGGGTTAGATTCAGGGGATGCTGTCTTGCCAGGAAGATGACAAGACAGAATGTCACCCCAGGTGCCTCTCCATCAACACTGTGACCCAAGCATGGGAACTTGGATCCCTCAGCCAAGGTGGTAGCTGGCTTGTCACTCCACTGTCAAGCTATGGTTTTCCCTATTATAGTTTATGTTGCATTGTGCTAGTTTTAGTGCTGTATTAGTTTTTAAAAAAAACCTTTAGAATGTGATTTATTTATTTATTTATTTTACTTATTTTGTAGTCGTGCTGGGGATCCAACCCAAAGCCGGGAACATGCTAAGCTGTGCTCGGCCACTGAGCCTGTGGGTTTATCTTAGAACCATCTTCACTTGGCACAGATAAGAAGGAATGTCTCTGGGCCCTGGTGGTTCACGCCTGTCATCCTAGCTACTAAAAGGCAGAGATCTGAGGACTGTGGTTCAAAGCCTGCCTGGGCAAACAAGTCCAATTCATCAGCAAAAAGCCATAAACAGAGCTGGGATTCAAATGGTAGAGCATCAACCTCCAGTACAAAAGCCAAGCAAGAGTAAGAGGCCCTAAGGTCAAGCCCCAGTACTGGTGCATGTGTGTGTACACACACACACACACACACACACAGAGCTGTGTGTTACCCAGCCTGAAACTTTCTCCTTGAGGTAACCAAAAGCCTGACTATGAACCCCAAAGATGTAACTAGAAGGCTGTACTGTGAATCTCCAAGCAGCTTGCTTGTGGGACATGTGTATGATACCTAGGGCCAGCTCCTCACACCTCTGCAATTGCTGCTTAGAGCTTTGTAGTCACACATTTGGATTTCAATTCCAGCTCCACCAAGGTTGGATAAGTGGCTTTACCTCCCCAAGCCTCGGTTTCCTTCTCTTTAAGACAGTACCATTACCTCCCAAGGGCCTGTGCCAGTTCCATGGGTTGCTGACTGGTGTAAATAAATGCCATGGCCGGTGTTTGTAGGTTGTCTGATCAGGCGCTGGGTTCTAGACCCAAAGCCTATCCCTGGCCTGTGGCTCCCCTGCTCTGCCGGTTGCTGGCACCCAGGAGTCCAGGGAGATGTGAGGTCACTGGTACCAGGTGAGTCCCGAGATGCCAGTGTCCAGCTGTCACCCCAGCCCTAAGGGCAGAACTTCATTCCCCAGATTCCTTCCTGGCAGGAGGCATGGCTGGGTGGTGAAAAATAATTGCTGCTCCCACACTTCCATGGCTTCCCCTTGAGCATCACCTGGTGATGCTGGCTGGGGTGGGGCCTAGGAGCTCCATTAGCTGGGGAGGGAAACTGAGGCTTGGGGCCTCCACACGCCCCGCTGTGAGGTGGCTTCCCGGGCCTCCCCTCTGGAGCTTCTGCTCTGGGAGGCAGCTGTGTGGAGGCCATGTGCAGTGCGCCTGGCCTTCCAGCTTTCCCCCTTTTATAGCTAGGGCAGCCGACCCAGAACAGGGTGCGAGACCTGCACCATGTTCTTAGCACTGCCTGTTCTCTGGCAAGTGGTATTTGGCTTTATTCATGGTCATGACAAGGGGGGAAAAGCGTCTTGATTCAAAATATTGCACAAGCACCCCTAATCTGAATAGCTGAAATACTCCAAAATCTGAATGGCTGAAATGCTTCTCCCCAAATTTTTTCCCTCTTGGCACTAGTGTGAGATTAAAGCCAGGGCCTCCTGCTTGCCAGGCAAGTGCTCTGTCACTTGTCACGCCCCCAGCGTTTCTGGTTTTTCCGATGGTGCCTCATGCTTTTGTTCAGGCTGACCTGGGCTGTCTTCCCACCTACTTTCACCTGCCAAGTAGCTGAGGTTATGAGCATGACTACCATAGCTGGCCCCAAAGCCCCAAGCTTTTTGAATGCCTATGCGATGATGCAGGTAGAAAATAGGGCTTCCACACCTGACCCCACGTGACAAGTTCAGCCCAAATCCACGTGATAAAAGTACTGTATAAAACTACCTTCAGAGCAAGTCAGGGAAGCCTGTGACTACAATCCTACCTACACAGGAGGCAGAGACTGAATCACAGTCCAAGGCCAGTGAAGACCCCATCTCAACCAGTAAGCTCGATACAGCGCGCATGCACGCTGTCTTTCCAAGTCTGCAGGATTGCCTGGCTCAAATGTAAATGCAAGACCTGATCTGAAAAGTAATGGCAGCAATAAAAGGGGGTGGAGGCATGGCTCAGCATACAGTGACTGTCTACTCCTGAGTCCAAACCCAGTCCAAAAAAACCCCACCACCTTCTGTGGCTGAAGCCCAGTGCCACCCAGGCAGCCGTGGGCAGCGGGGTGGAGCTGGACTGAGATGCCCCGCTGCTGGCCAGTGCTTCCGTTGGTGACCCCTCCTTTGTCTTCTTGGCAGGCCTGCTTCCCCGGAAGCTTTGTGCCAACCCAGCAGCTCCTATCCTGAACCAGGAGGGGGATGGAGAGTTGGGACCACGTGCCAAGGCGAGGAAGGCCATGGGCATCCGCAGACTGCACCCTGCACCGGGCTCGTGACTTCCTGCTGGTGTGATGTTTACAGGAACGCAGCCAGTTTGCCTGTTCTGCATTTCAGCCCCTCGCCCGTGTCCCCCATGGGAGCAGACACCTCCTACTGCAGCCCCAGTGGAAGTGGACTTAGCAGTTCAAGTGCTTGTTCTTCCTTAGCTTGGTAGGGTTGGGAACCCAGGCTGCAAAGGCTGCCGATGTATATTGGCCAGAAATATATTTTTGAAAATGTGAGTCACATCAATACTTGACTTCGATCAACCTGTTTAAAGCAATATTTAGGAGGCTGACTTGTTTCCATTAAAAATGTATGCAACTGGCTTTTGGTTTTTCTTTGAACTTTAGAAGAAGGGACCTCGTGATAAAGGACAGGTGGGCCGGAGGCCTCCTAGTCGAGACCCAGTGGGATTTACAGTCCATCCTGGAAGGCTGGCATAGGAGCCTAACTGGCCCCTGCCAAGCTTCTGCCTGCCTGCCACCCCACAGACAGCCCTGGGGTGTGGTGGGAAAGGCCTTGTGGCCACGTGGAAGTGGCCTGAATTGCACAGAGACTTCAGGCGCAGGTGATGGGAAGGAGGGGAGCACAGGGGGTGTGGGTTGGCCTGAAGCCTCTCGTTTGTGGAGCAGGCCTTGCACGTGCACCAGGGTAAGGCAGTGTGCTGAAGGGGGGCGGGCATGGTGATGCCTGTCTGTAGTTTCAGCGTTCAGGAGACCGAGGCAGGAGGATCTTTAGTATGAGGTCGGTCTGAGCTCCATAGTGTGTTCCAGACCAGCTTGGCAACAGAGCCAGATCATGACTCAGGCCCCACGCCTGTCCTCCTAGCTACTCAGGAGGCTGAGCTCTGGGAATCATGCTTCAGAGCCAACCCTGGGCAGAAAGAAACCCTGTCAGTCTCTTACCTAGAATCAGCCAACAAAAAGCCAGACGTGGAGATGTGGCTCAGAGAAGTAACTTATGTAAGGAAGTAGGGAGCTGGGCACAGAGGCCATGAGGGCCATCTGGGGCCTGGGCTGCTGACCCACACAGGCCAAGAGGCCTTTGCATGACTACAGCCTGGATCCCAGCGGCCCGGCTGACGCCCTGGGCACAGGGGAGCCGGCCCCGTGAGGCCTGCCCCGCTGCACATGCGCTCAGCCCTGACAGGCAGGCGACTTCATTCACATTAAACCCAGCACAGCAGGTACCCCAAAGGGAAATCAAGGCATAAAACCCAAGGCCACACCTGCCGGCCAGGTCTGAAAGGGAAGATGTGGGAGATGGGCCGGCCATCTCCTGCCTCCAGTAGTGTACTGTTCTCTGCTTCCTGGCTTTGGTCCAGTGTTCTGGCCAGACCTAGCAGCTGCCATGGAACCCCATCGTTATTTGGGGACCAGCAGGCCAGGGCGGTCATGGGTCCCTTCGAGTGCAAGCGGGGCCTGTCGGGGTGTCTGGCTGGGGTCAATGATGATGGACAACGTGCGCTTGCCAGGCTGAGGCCTAGGCAGGCAGGCGTGTGGCTGCCTCGGTCTCTCGCTCTGGCCTGCCCGGGACTGCTGGAGTGCCCTCACGGGGAAGGGCTCCGCCTCCAGCGCGACCTGCAGAGCCTATCAGGTGCCACCTCCTGCTGGGGCTCAGAGCAGCTGAGCAGAGCTGGCATCTGCCTGGGATCAAAGGAGTCTGGCGCCAGGCTAGGTCTGCCGGCAGAGCCAGACGTGGGTCCATTCTGCAGCTGGGCAGCGCCGACGCTGAGCCAGTGGGGACTGAGAGCCAGGAGGTTCACAGGACAGCGCCCAGAGAACAGCCAGCCGTGCGTGCGAGTCCTCAGGTCAAAGTCCAGTGTGGTCAGTGCCCTGAGAGAGAGGCAAGGCAGGAGCTTCGGGAGGGGGGCCTTGGCACTGGCGGGGAGTGACTATAAAGAACACAGGGAGAGGGGACAGTCGTCTTCCTAGGGGAGCGGGAAACTCAGAGGTCAGCAGTAAATCCAGGACCAACAAAAGCAGCCAAGAGGCCAAACAGCAGCAGGAATGACTTAAGTCAGAAGGAAGGACTTCCCAAGCCAGGAGCCAGTGGCTCATGTCTCTATAATCCTAGCTACTCAAGAGGCTGAGATCTGAGGATCATGGTTCAAAGCCAGCCTACGCAGGAAAGTGCATGAGACTCTTATCTCCAATGAATTCCCTCCCTCAAAAAAAAAAAAAAAAGCTGGAAGTGGCTCTGTGGCTCAAAAAGTAGAGCACTAACTTTGAGCAAAAGAAGCTCAGGGACAGTACGCAGGCCCTGAGTTCGAGCCCTAGGACCGGGTAGAAGAAGAAAAAAAGAGGAAGGACTTCCTGATCACAAACAACAATAGAGGAAGTCAGGACTTTGCATGCCCAGCTGGGCTTGTCCTCCTCCAGTCCCTCAGCCTGACCGTGACCAACAGCCTGGGAGCCTGGAGTCCCGGGAGCGGGGGAAGAGCTGCAGGAGCCGGCTGGAGACAGGAGACCCCTCCACGTGTGTGCGGAGCCCAGGCCCCGCCTCCCCGAGGCCCCAGCCCTCTCTGCCTGCGTTCTGAGCTCCGGCAACCCGGGGCCCTCCCCTGTGGTGCCCTCCCCGGGACCCCCGTCACCTTGTTCAGGGCACAGCCAGGTCATCTCAGGCTGATCCGCGAGTCCAGTTGCTGCAAATGTTCCTGGACGCCAAAGGGAATGGTAGGTGTCCACATGCTGTGGGGATGGGAGCCGGTACCAGGTAAGGAGGGGGGTCACCCCATTCTTCCTCCCACCCAGCCCAGAACCCCCTGGAAGGCCACAGACTGCGGTGGGAGCAGAAGGCAGAGGCCTATGAGACCAATGGTCCTTTTCCGGTTACTGACTTGCTGTGGACCTCAAAGGTATTCATGACTGCTCTGTGCCTACCTCCTCACGTATAAAATGGGTCTACAAGGCCCATCCTTCCGGGCAGAAGACACCGTGAGTGAGTAGCTGAGAGGTATCTGAAGCAGTGTCGTCAAGCACGGCAGAGCACACATGTGAGCCCGGCACGCAGAGGCGGAGGCAGGGAGATAAAGGCTAGCTCTGACAGGGAGGCCCTGTCTCTGAAGCAAAACTTAAACAAAAGGGCTGGGGGCCTGGGCCAGAGTATAGAGCAAATGCTTAGTATTCAGGAGGCCTTGAGTTCAATCCCAGTACCACACCAGAGGAGATTTAAAGTGCTGGTGTCAGGGTTGGACAGGAGACACTGTGGTGACACATTGGTGACAGGATTCTGGCTCTTCAGGTCCATTCCTTCCCCCTCTGTACTGTCACGCAGAACGTGCAATACCAATCCCTACCTGAAGGGGCGCTCTGATTAATCAGAACATTTACTTAGTATACGATTTTTCTTATTGCATAATCAACAGAACATTCAGTAAGACCTTTGATGGTATCTCCAGTTAACCAGAAAAACGCTAGAGCAGGATTGGGAGTTCTAGGCCAGCCTCAGTCATCCCGGGGCTGGCACAGCCCTGTCTTGAACTACACAAAACCCCCTAAATGGTGTGCGAGCTGCATGCAAGCGCAGCCCTCCTGCCTGGGAAGGGGCAGCGGGGTGGTCAGCGCACCCCGGGAAGCACTGAGGAGGAAGTGAGTGCCGTCCTGACTAAAGCTCGCAAAGCCCGGGGTACACGCCGCCCCGCCCCCGTCTCCCAGGTGGAGAAACTGAGGCCAGCAGCGCACCCTGACCGCACACGGCCCTGGGGCCAGCAAGACTCACGCCAGCGTGTGCAGGTGGGGGCACTTCCTCAGGCTGGCGGCCAGCTGCTGGGCACCCACAGCTGTGAACTTGTTGTACTGGACACTGGGGAGAGGAAGCAATCCTGAGGCCTGGCCCTGGGACCAGCCCTTCCCTTGAGGCCCCTGGAGGCCCCAGCCCCCCCCCCCAGCTCAGTCCCCCGCACTCACTCCATCACCCGCAGGGACTCCATGTCGGGGAGCACGCGTGCCAGGCTCTCGGCTCCTTTGTCACAGATGCAGTTATTGTACAAGCTGCGGAAGACACAAGGTGGGGAGGACTTGGAGTGCCGGGGGGAGGGCTTGGGGCCCGCTGTAGCGGGGGGGGGGGGGGGCCCCTCCCATGCTGGACAAATCAATTCAAAAGCAAGCAGTGCTATACCAAGATCGACCAGCAGGGGGCAGCACCAGTGCCGGCTGGTGTGTGGGTCACCCTCTCCCACAGGAAAAAGCTTTGTCCTGCATCCACACCCGATCTACCACCGGGGGCGGAGAGCTTCCTCCCGGCCACTGGGATGGCTCCCCCTTTCCAGATGGGAAACGAGGGCCCCAGAACCAGGTGACTTTGGCCCGGGGGCTGCTGGCCCTGTGTCCAGGGCGGGGGCAGCTGGTGCAGTGTGCATCGCCAGGGCAGCCCCAGGGCCTCGCCTGCGCCAGCCGGGGCCCCACTCACCTGAGCCTCAGGAGGGTGGCGGCAAGGGCGGGCAGGGCGTCCGCCAGCTGGCAGGCGCCCACGTCGGTGATGCTGTTCTGGGAGAGGCTGCGGGACACCGCGAGGGGAGGCTGAGGCCCCTGTGTGTGCCTGCACCCCAGCGTCCACCCCCGGGGTGGCCTGCAACCTCAATCGGTAAGACCATAGGTAGGTGACAGATGATATAGTCAGACAGACAGACAGAAAGAGTGAGCAATGACCAGATGGACAGCTGGGTGCCTGTGTGATTGGCGGGAGGGGGAAGGGAGGGTGGCAGGACCCAACGCGAGTTCGGGGCTCCCGTGGGGGGGGGCAGGAGATGCCTGGCGGAGGACTCACTTGAGCGTCTCCAGCGCCTTCAGCCATGGGAAGGTGGCCGAGAGCTGCGCGACGCCCTCGTCCCCGATCTTGTTCTCGCTCAGGGAGTCCAGGCTGGGGGGCATCAGACAGGGGTGTCAGCCAGTGCCCAGGAGCCCCCCGACCCTGCCAGTCCCACCTGAGCCTCCTCCTGCCCTGATCGCTCCCTCATGAGCCTCGGGGAGTAGGCCTCCGTCACCCAGGGGCACCAGCTGGCCGGCCAGGGGACGAGGCCCAGCCTGCAGCCCTGGAGCCCAGCTTGGAACCACACTGTGAGGTGGGGCCCTGCCTCTGCCCCCTCCCCCCGCTCCAGAACTAGAGCAGCGGGGGAGGTCACGGAAGCACCCACGCATTCTCCCTGGGGTGGGCGGGCTGTGCGCGCTGTCCCGAGGGGGGGTTTGGCCCTGGGGCAGGGATGGGGGGTGAGGGGTGGGGGGGGGAGAGTGGGCACTCACTCCAAATGCTGAAGGGAAGAGAAGGCGGGAAGGATCCTCGCCAGCTTCGGGAAGGCCTGGGCACCCAGGACGGGGCCCAATCTAGGAGGCAAAGAATAGGGTCCTTCTTCAATACCACCCAAGGGGGCAGAGACAAGTCAGGAAGGCTAGACTGTGCCCTCCCTCCAGCCCCCCCACCTGCGCCTGCCCCCCCCCACCTGCCTGGAGCAGATCCCACAAAGTTCCCCAAGAGGCCGGCTGGATTCTCGGCCTTCACCCTGCACCAAGGCAATTCTCAGCCCTGGCAATGCCACAGGCGCGCCCCCCCTCGCCCCCAGCCCAGGGCCTTTGCATCTTAATGACAAAGACGACTTTGTGGGACATACATTATGCCAGGCACAGGAAGAGTCTTCTAGTAGCCTTAAGTAAAGACTCTTTTTACCCCACCCACCCCACCCCGCCCTGTTTCATAGCTAGGGAAGCCATGGAACAGAGACTAACTCATACTAAGTCAGAGCCAGAGTTTACATTCAGACTTCATGGGGAACAACAAAAAAAAACAACAATAAGGAGTCTGGCATCAGTGACTCATGCCTGTAATCCCAGCTCCTCCAGAGGTTCAGAGCTGAAGATTGTGGTTCAAAGCCATCCAGGAGTGGAGTGAGTGAGTGAGAACACGGGAGATATTGGTGACAGGGGACCCTGACGGGGACCCATTGGGGTTCTAGCTCTAAGAGGTCCGTGGGGTGCCCACATCCTTCCTTCCTCAGACAGAAGCTTCCAGGGCATCTAGCCTCAGGTGTGGTGGCGTGGTGGCAGGCTGCGCCACCCGCGGCTGCTGCTCCCCGGAGCGCAGTTCCGAGCAAAGCGCACGGTTTATTGGGTTTTGGTTTTTTTTTAAGCCCAAAAGGGCTCTCAGAGACTGTGTGCAGACATTTCCTGTTCTCAGGGATATTTTTATCCCCACACAAAAGTGGCACTTCATCTGCTGTTGAAAACAAAAGCGAGGCCGGGCGCTGGCGGCTCACACCTTCATCCTAGCTACTCAGGAGGCTGAGATCTGAAGATCACAGTTCAAAGCCAGCCCGGGCAGCAAAGTCCGAGAGACTCTTATCTCCAATGAGCCACCAGGAAACTGGAAGTGGCGCTGTGGCTCAAGAGGTAGAGCGCTCGCCTCGAGCTGAAGAGCTGAGGGACAATGACGAGGCCCAGAGTTCAATTCCCATGGCAGAAAGGAAGAAAAGAAAGACAGATAGACAGGAAGGAAGGAAGGAGGGAGGGAGGGGGAGGGGGAGGGAGGGAGGCACCTGGCTTTGGGGGCACTGGGACAGTGATGGGGGGGCTGCCATCCACTGGGCACAGCGAGCAAGCCACTCAGCCTGGCTGGGCCTCAGTTTCCTCATGTGGCCACTGGCATGCCCGGGACTAGGCCCAGCGGCAGGGCCTGGGACCCACACCTCATCACCCGTGGGGGGACAGCTCTTTCTTCCCTTGTCCCCTTTTCTTTCCTCCCCTCTTTTTAAAATTTTGAACGCAGGCAGGCCCTTGGCCACGTTAGCCATGCCTCCAACTCCTTTTGCTCTACCTATCTTTCAAATAGAATCTCATGAAGCCCAGGCCTGCTTCAGACTCCAGTTCTCTTTCCTATGTCTGTGTAGCTGGGATGACATGTGAACCACAGTAGCTGGACTGTTGGTTGAGATGGGGGTCTCAGGAACTTTTTTGGGGGGGGGCCAGGGCTGCACTGAAAATTCCACTCTCCCAAGCTCCACTTCCTAAAGTAGCTGGAATTACAGGCATGAGTTGCTGTACCCTTCCTAGCCAGGATCAAAGACTGAGTTTACATCTTATGAGTGAGCTCAGAGCCAGGCATACATGACTTTGACCACTCTGGGAAACAATTTACTCTCCCTTGGCCTCAGTGTCCTATTCTTACAATGAGGAGATAACGGTTCATCCGGAGAAGGATAGCCTGTGTATGCGTGTGAGCAAGCACACGCGTGTGCAGAGCCAGCCAACTCAGGAATGAGTGGGATGCAGGTGTAACTGGCACTAACCGCTCGCGTCCCACTCTGCCCCTCAAGCCCGGTCCCCGCCAGGCAGGCCCGGCCCGAGGGGAGGAAAGGCTCTGGGAACCCCAAGTCTCTGCTGGCCGGAAACAGCTCCCGGGGCAGAAGGAACCCAAGACCCCAGCCCCCACTCACGCAAACTCCAGCTTCTTCAAGTCTCGGACGGCAGGCAGGTCCCTGGCCGGGTCGTCGGAGCAACGTGTCACCCTGCAGGGAACAGCAGCGGGGACGTCAGGGGTGCAGGCTGGGCCCTGCGCGTGCCCCAAATCCCCCAGGGCAACCGCCTTCCCTGGGCTGCCGCTGACCTCCACCAGGAAGGAGGGCCTCAGGGCCGCAAGGCTCAGGGAGAGGCTCAGAGCAGGCCCTGAGCAGGTCCTGGGCCGCTCAGTGCATGGCAGGCTCCAGCGTGTTTCTGGGCTGCGGTCGTTTTTCAGTACCCGGGGCTGGAACTAGGCGCTTTACTTGGCGGGTCCTTTTCACTTTTACTTAGTTTTCAGGGAGGGTCTCTAGTTTTACCAGGGCTAGCCAGGGATCTTGACCCTCCTTCCTACACCTATCATGTTCCCGAGATTCGGGAATGACTGCCATGTCCAGCTTGTTTGTTGAGATGGGTCTCACTCACTTGCCTGGGGGTGGCCTCAAATCACGCTCCTCGGGATCTCGGCCTCCCAGGCAGCTGGGATGACAGGCCAGATGGTAGCGGGTTTTGAATGGGGAGAGGGGTAGCGCGGCAGCACCTGTGCTTCAGTGGCCACTGCTGCTGAGACCCCAGCCCGGCGGTGCCCAGGGGGAGGGGCATAGAGCCGGGGCACACCCAATCTGCACAGCGTGGGCCCCGCCCATCCACACCCCTCACCTCGGGGTCTGCACCAGGTGGCCCAGGTCCTCGACGTCCTTCAGGGACTTGGCCTTGAAGGGCTCGATGGTGAATTTCTCCTCCGCCGCACAGAGTAGCGGGGTCTCCCCACGCCGCCGCAGCGACTCCCACAGCCCGGTGGTATCACTCAAGGCGGCCCTGTGGAGGGAGGGCCTCAGACCCAGGCGCAGGGACCTTTCCTTCCTCCTCCAGAAACCTTCCAGGACCACTCCAACCCTGACTGCTGCTTCCTTTCTCAAAACTCTCACCGTGGTTTCGTTTCCCCTTTTCCCTTTGGCTACTAGGAAGCTCGCTGCTACATTCTGGGTAAAATATGGCTAGGAGGAAATGGGGGAGCAGTCTTTTTCTCTGGGGAAATATGCTGACGTGTTCAAGCAGATTGGAGGACTTAAATGGGTGCATGAAGGGATTCAGACTTCATTCGGAGGGGAACAGACTATGCTGAAGGGCTGTGGAGACGGGCCTGGGGGCCGAATACAGTGGGGTGGGAGGGAAGAGAACAGGGGTGGAGAGGGCGGTGCGGGGGTGAGGGATGGGGGAACGGAGGGAGGAAACGCAGCCTTCCGAGCCAGACATGACTCAGTGGCTGGTGTGGGGCAGGACGTCACGTGTTGCGGGGAAGAACGCCCCCACCCCGGCCGCTTCCTAAGTGGAAGGAGTCTGTGCACCCCATGTGCACCCCGCCCCGCCACGGCCTGCCCCCACCTGAACCGCGTGACACAGGAGAGTCCCACGAGGCTGCCCAGGCCCGAGGGGTCAAGGCCAGTGCTGCGGAGGTCCAGGGAGAAGTCTCGGCCTGCGGACTCCAAGGCCCTGCCCAGCAGGTGGGCATCGGGGGGCGTGAGCCGGGTGCCCAGGAAGGAGAGGTGTTCGGGGAGCCCCTGCAGCACGTGCTGCCAGATCCCGGGGTCCTGTGCCTCGTGGGCGCAGTGCAGCAGCTCCAGCACCCGCGCCGCCTGCAGCTTCCCGGGCTGGAGCCGCTTCAGGTACCTCGTGAGCACTTTCCGCTTCCTGTCCGCCCCGGTGGCGGCGGCGGCGGCCGGCCCCAGCAGGGCTCCCAGGCAGCGGGCGCGAGGCTGGAAGAGGAGGCCAACGAGGAAGCGCGGGGCGCCGGCCAGCCAGTTGTCATAGGGTCTCTTCTTCCTGGGTGTGAGCGCCAGGTACTGCGGCAGCTTCTTGTCCTTGATGTCGCTGCTCTGGGCCAGCCACAGGGCCCCCAGGAAGCAGTGCAGCGGGAAGCTGGCAAAGGCCAGCCCGGCCTCCACAGCGCCCGGGGCGGCCCGCACCAAGCCCCGGGCCACGGCCCACGTCCTGACCTCGGCCGAGGGGAACTGGTCTTCCCGCAGGGTGCTCTGGTGCCTGCGGCCCAGCTCCCAGGCCAGCTCGGCCAGGCTGGCCAGGGCCCCCGGGGGGCTGTCCCTGGCGGCGGGGCCCACCAGGCCCACGTAGAGTCCCGTGAGCGTGCAGGGCAGCTGGGCCTCGGCGCCCGCCCGCAGCAGCACTTTGGAGAGCTGGCACACGGCTTGGCACACGGCGGGGTTGTGCCCGTGGCTGGAGAGAAATGGCTGCTCCCTCAGAAGCACCAGGGCCCTCTCCTGGTCCTCGGTCGCCCCCGTGTCCTCAAAGTATCGCCGTAGGTAAGTCAGAGCCTGCTCGGCGGAGAAGCCGGGCACCTCGAACAGGGCGTCGGCCTTGCTCAGGCACTGCGCCAGGCGGCCCCGGGGCCGCGCCGTGAGGACCAGCGTGCAGCCCCGCAGCAGCTTCCCCTGGAACAGGCCGGCCAGCAGCCCGCGGAAGGAGCAGGGCTCGGAGCACACGGGTCCACACGAGCCGTCCTGCGCTTCGAGCTCCTCGAAGCCATCCAGGATGAGCAGGACATGGTTGGACCGCCTCACAATATGGCTGAGGATCCTGTCGTCCAGGGCTTGTGCGTGCAGGCCCGCGGGGCAGAGCAGATCCTGCAGGCGGTACGTGGTCCCCGGACGGTCCAGGCAATGGCAGGGGACGTGGAAGACGAAGTCGTACTGGGGGAGCTGGCCGCACGCCCAGGCCCTGCTCACTGCCCGGGCCCAGTGGCTCTTCCCCACGCCGGCTTTGCCCAGCACGGCGATCACGTGCGTTTCTCGCGGCTGTCGGCGGTCTCTGGTGGACAGCAGCACCTCGGCCAGACCCCCGTGGGCCGGCTGTCGCTCTGCCCAGTCCAGGGTAGCCAGCTCCCTCTCCTGGCTCTTGTTGCTGCCCTTCTCCAGCCTGGCCCGCACCAGGTCCACGTCCACCAGGAGGCCATCCAGGCCCGCAGGCTCAGCCTGGTACCTGTCCCGGAGAGAGCGGCAGAACTGCTCCACGGGCCCTGCCGAGGACAGGGGGGACGTGGTGTCAGAACCGGAAGCGCGTGGACAGCACCGCCCGCCACCTTCCCCTGCCAGCTCCTCTTGCTCCTCTCAGTTTTCATGGATAGTGCATTCCTTCCTTCGTTCATATTTTACTCATCCTCGGCCACTCCTGGTTTGGGGGAAGGTTCTGGCACTTCTAGGATTTGAGCTGGGGTTTGCTAGGCAGGCACTCTACAACTAAGCCATGTCTCCGACGCTCTGGCCCTGTGTTTCATCGATTATTATTATTACTGTTATTACTAGTCTTACATGAGTTGGCAGTACTGGAGTTTGAATTCAGAGCTGGGCACTTGCTAGACTGGCACTCTACTACTTGAGCCACGTCTCCAGCCCTCGTTTTTTGTTGCTTGTTTTGGAGATGGAGTCTAGAAAAGTTTTCTGCATGGAAATGTGTGTGTGTGTGTGTGTGTGTGTGTGGAGACCTCAAATCAAGATCCTCTAGATCTCAGCCTTCCCAATGAGAAGGGGGGGTCACAGAATGAGCCCCCGGTGCCTCGCTCTGGTTTACTTTTGAGATAAGGTCTAGCGTCCCACCCAGCACACCGGAGCGGCCATCTGCCTCCTCCAGGCCTTCCTGTTATTGTTGGGATCATAGGTACTTGTCACCACACTCAGCCTCCCCTGATGAAGATGAAGTCTCAAGGACTTTCCTGCCTGTGCCAGCCTGGAGCTGAAATCCTCCTCCTCTCAGCCTCCCATGCCACCCAGTGTGGCAGGCCCTCGCCTCTCTACTCAGATAGGTAGAGAAGGGCCTCATCAGCTTTTCTGCCCTGGCGTCTTTCCCTCTGTGTGTGTGTGTGTGTGTGTGTGTGTCTCCCCTTCCCCCGTATGATTCTCCTGCCTCAGCAGCCTGAGTGCCGCAGTCACAGAGGTGCGCTTCCATGCCTGCTCACCATTCTTATTCCCTGCTGACTCCTTGCCTACTCCCATCGCTCTGCACCCATGGACTTCCTTCATCTACTTGCTCTGACAACAACCATCCCTCCTCTGTTCTCTCAGCCCTGCACACACCCCCACCACACAACCAAGGCCAGGGCCTCTCAGGTGCGAGGGCTCCTGAGGGGCAGGGTCTCCGCACCTGCTGCTCAAGTGAGTGACAGCATGAATGCTGAAATGATGGCAGTGAAGTCAACAAGCGACAATGAGAGGGACTCAGCCAGTCAAAGCGGAGTAAATGCTGGGTGAAGGAGCCAATCAGAAGTGAGCAAGCACTGGTTGCATGAGCCCCTCAGGGCTCACAAGCACTATGTGAATCGGCTAACCAGAGCTCAGCAAGCATGGCTTGAAGGAGCCACATGAAGCCAGATTTGGGTTTGGACAGAGGGCGCCCACCACCACTCACCGGGCCATTTTGGGAGACTGACAGAGACCTCTGCAGCCCCTTGGTGTGGGGAGGGCGACATGTCATCCTCTGTAGAGAGAGAAGATGGTGGCATTTAGGGCTGGGGGGGGGGCCTCCAGCCAGCCTTGAGTGTCCCAAGGGCAGAGCCCAAGTCTAGGCCACAAGGTGATGGCCTGGCCATGGCTGGCCTCTTTATTGCCAACAGCTCTACTCTCACAACTTGTTCTGAAGGTTTGAAAAACCCCAGCACTGGCATAAGAAGTGGGATGTGTAACCTCTGAAGACGAGCCCCGGGTCAGCTTTCTGCTGGAGGCTGCACTGTCTCACCACACGGTGTCGCCCCAAACCCATCCACACCTTCTGCTCTAGAGGCCTTCCCACTGGTCGCCCCAAACAGGAGCTGCCTCTTAATGCAGGCAACTCAGTCTGTGGAGCCTCCGGAGGCGTGGCCCGCCCCAGAACCCAGCCCTGCTTCCTACCTGTCACACCTGCACGGGAGGTCAGCGCTGCTTCAGGCATGCTGGGCAGGTCGGCCGTGGATGGAGCAAAGGGGCTGGTGGAGCCTGGCCGCTCTGGGGACTTTGGGAGGCTCTGAACAGGAGGACCAGGGCAAGGAAATACCTGGCTGGCCTGGGGTATGTCACCTACATTGAAAGTAGACAAGGTATGAGAGCCACTGGGGACCCAAGCAGAAAGCCACTCGGGTCCACCCTCATCTCAAGCAAGCTGTGTGGCTTGGCACACCCAGAGGGAGAGTTCCCAAGGAAGGCCTCTCAAGACAAAGCAGAGGAAAGCGCTCTGGAGTGACGGCTGGCTCCCAGAGCCTCAGGGTTCCCATCTGTGAGATGCACACAGCACCTCACAGGGCACGCCAGGCTGACGCTCCTATGGTGTTCTTCCTGCTCATCTCGCTGCAGGTCAGGAGCGATTCCTTTCTGCACTCACAGAACATCAAAGGACATTCTGACCTGAGCAGAAGCTTTTGCCCACCTCAGCCAAGAGCCTGGACGTGCCTTCCCTGCATTGCCTACAACTGTCAGGGTGTGGCAGGTTAGCTGGGGCCATTTTACTGATCTGGGGTGGGGAAGGGGCAAAAAAAAAAAAAGACAAATCAGAGAAACCTTGCTGTGCAACCTTGCACAGCAAACTGTTCACACTGGCATACTAAAGGAGTTAATTCTTCAAGTATCTCTTTTTGCTTAGATTCTTTTTTGGGGGCGGGGGTGGTGGTCATGGGGCTTGAACTCTGGGCCTGGGCACTGTCCCTCAGCTCTTCAGCTCAAGGCAAGTGCTCTAGCATTTGAGCCACAGCATCATTTGTGGTTTTTCTGGTGGTTCATTGGAGGTAAGAGTCTCATGGGCTTTCCTGCCTCCTGAGTAACTAAGACTATAGGCATGAGCAACCTATGCCCAGCTGTTGCTGGGCATGTGTGGATGTCTCAACTTGAAAATCGTGTGGTTTCCTAAAGGTCAGGCATCACACACCCAACCACCTCCGGGAGCTACATGGTACAGTTCTGAGTTTGGGGAAATGGAAATAGAGGAAGGTGTGCTGGGGAGGAAGAGTCACGAGAAGGATGGGGGAGAATAAGATCAGAAAATCAGCTGACGTGGAGGAGGGAGAGGTTGAGGGACACACACACACACACACACACGCGCGCGCGCACATACACACTCCTCACCATGATAGATAAATATCCCGGAGATGTTTGTGCCAGACTCTGAAATTTGCCAGCACCCCTGGGGCAGGGCAGGGAGAGTTGAGATGAACTGGAAAGGTCCGGCAGAAAGATGGAAGCAGTTCATGGAGGATCCGGAGGGGAGCGCTGCAAAAGACCAAGGCAGTGAGGTGGGGTCTTCATCATTCTCTTTTGTGACAATGTGCTGGGCATCTGACTCTCACTGAGAGCTCTGATTTTTCCCCAAGAACCACAGCTGTGCCTATCTTGCCTGGGAAGGTGATCCCAGGCACCCAGCACTCAGTAGCTGGTTGGCCGGAGACAAGGCATCCTGTGGAGAGGGCTGGTAGGTGAGCTCCCCAAGTGGTGGAGATTCCCCCAAACATACCTGTCAGTTGGACAGCTCCCTCCAGGGGTGCCTGGCCTGGTACTGGTTCCTGGCTGAACAGAGCAGGTGATGGGCAGAGCAGGGGAGAGTTGCTCCCTACTGGCCCTACCAGGAAACTGCCAGTCAGGATGGGCACAGCAGGTGTCTCAGCTGTGGGGGGAAAGGGGTAGTGTTGGGGGGACACACCTGGAGGGGGCAGTCAAAGGAAAAGCCTGTCTTTTTTTTTTTTTTGCCAGTTCTGGAGTTTGAACTCAGGGCCTGGACACTGTCCCTGAGCTCTTTTGCTCAAGGCTAGCACTCTACCACTTGAGCCACAGTGCCATTTCTGGCCTTTTCTGTTTTTGGTATTGAGGAATAGAACCCGGGGCTTCATGCATGCTAGGCAAGCACTCGACCACTAAACCACATTCCCAGCCCACCTGTCTCCTTCTTGACCTACTGATCAGTGGCTATTCTGAAGAAAGCCCCAGCTAGGACTTGTGACTGGGTGCTGGGTGCCCCTGACTGGGAACACCCCACCTCTCCTAACCAGTTGATGAGTCCTTGCAGGGCTTCAGCTTTAGATGCTGCCTTCCTGTCAGATCCAAAGCAACCCAGGGCCTGTGACAACCTCCTCATCACCGTGGGTGCTTTAAGACCAGGCTTCAAAAGCCTTCTGCTTACTGCTAGGGCTGGGCTGCTACCTTTGCAGTAATAACTGGGGGTGAAGGGAGGAAGAGGAGGAGGATGCACCTGGTGGAGATGGTGGGCATGGGGTGAGACCAGGGCAAGTCCTTCTGCCTTGAAGGCCTTAAGAAGAGGCTGGGTGGGAGAAGCGAGGTCTCCCCTCCGCTGGGGAACCACACCTGGCTGCAATCCTGCCCTCTCTGTGTGGCTGGGCCATCTTCAACTAGAGACTTCGCCTCTCTGGGCTGCTTGTGCCAGCAGCAGGCCCAGCCTGGGGCGGGGGGGGGGTCTCCTCACCTGGCTTCCTGCGCTTCGGGTCCAGGGGCTGCTCCTCCGGGAGGGCTGAGGAGGGAACATGGTGGTCAGAGCCGGCCACGGGGGTCCCACAGCCCCGGCAGGCTGGCGGGGCCTCCCTGTGCCCCGGTGCGGGGGTCCAGGGAGGGCCAAGGGCGGGAACGCGCTCCCGGGTGGAAGCTCACCAGGGGTCAAGGCCGGAAAGCCCCGCCCCTTCCGGCTGCCACCCAGCGAGCCCTAAGGAGGGCGCAGTGAAGGGCGGGGCTACAGCCGGAAGTACGTACAGGCCGTACAGGCCGGAAGTGTTCGTAACCCAAAGGGCTGCACGTGCCGGAAGTGCTCAGATCCAAAATGTTGCACGTGCCGGAAGTGCTTGTACCCAGAGTGCTGCGCATGCTGGAAGTGCCGAGGCCAGGAGTGCACGTGCCGGAAGTGCTCAGATCCAAAATGTTGCACGTGCCGGAAGTGCCAAGGGCAGAAGAGCCTAAGGCCGGAAGTGCATCGGGAAGCGCTTGCACCCAAAGTGCTGCCTTGTGCCCAAAGTGCAAAGGTCGGCAGTGCTAAGACCAGCGGTGCACATGCTGGGAGGGGGGAGGGAGGGGGAGGGGGTCGGTCCTGGAGTGGACCCCCGGGGTTGCCACCTGTGATCTCCCAGCCGTGTTAAAGGAAGAGAGCCGCTGTGTAGAATCGAGCAGGTGAAATGTGTCCATTTGCAGAAGAAGAAATGTAAAAAAGCAAGCCAGCTTCTAGATGCACAGAATATCAATGGCAAGGCAGAAAGGACACGGGTGGCGTTGGCCACCTTGAAGAGGGACCGTGAGAGACAGGGACCGGAGGAAGATTTGCTCTCACTGAGTATGTTTTGCAGTTGACATCTTTTAGCATGTATCTGAATCATGGGTTGCATGGTAAATACATAGACACCAAGGTCACAGGTGGCCGGGCATAGAGGAGCCCTCCGATTATCCTACTTTACATACATTGCCACTGAGCGATCGGGGTGTTACCGCACACCAGGCACTGTACTAGATGCTGAGGGTACTAATAAGCGTGCAGGAACTATGTAGAAGGCAATCAGTAAAACAGCTCTTATCACAGTGACCACTACAGAACTGTAATACTCCGCGTGGAAGTGTGGTCAGGGAAGGCTTCCAAGAGGAAGTGGCCTAATGGATCTCATGGGAGCCAGCCATAGGGAGAACTGGGAAGAAGGGCACGGCAGGTAGTGAGAATGGTGTTGGAAAGGCCCTGCAGTCAGGAAGCCCTGGGAGGTGGGTAGAAGAAACTCAGTGAGGCTGGAACGCGATGTTCCTCTGTGGTGAATCAGAAGTGGGAAGGGTCTGATCTCGTGGCTGGATGCTGTGGGGGAAGTTCTAAGGAGGCAGGGAGGCTGGGAAGAGGCTGAGAGATACAGGCCCTGGTCACACAGTTCAGGATTGCACTCAACTCTTGCCACACTTGTGCTTGAAGAGTCCTCCCTCAGACACCAGGTGAATGACCATTCAGTGTGAAGGAGAAGCCAGAACTTAAAGGCCAGACAACCAGGGCTGATCCCAACCAGTGGCCAGGCTTCCTGAGCCATCTCTTTACTCCATGGATCACTACTAACCAATGGTAAACTGAGGCAGCAGGGGTCCCAACTCCAGAGGAGGTGGGCAGTACTTCACAAACGAGCAACTGGGAGCCTGAGCAGGTTCTAAAGCCAAGGAAGGGGCCAGGCCGGGCTGGGCAGGGCCTTACTCACATCGTTTCTGATTTCGCTTTCCCACTTCGGCCGGCACCTCTACGCTCTCACATGTTCCCTCGTCTAGTCCAATGTGCTCTACTGCGGAAGAGAAACCAGAGGGATCTCACAGCCCTGGGGGGCTGTGACAAGCCACCATAGCCCATGTCTGCAGAGGAGTGGTGATCCGATCCACAGTGCGTCCCAGGATCAGGAAGGAAATGCAGGGCCTCTCCCCAACTTACTGAAAATGTCCTTGCTCAGGCCCTCCATCTGGGAGTCCTGGAACACATACTGGTCCAGTTCCGCTGACCAGACAAGGAAACACATAGTCAGTCAGCAAGTCTCCCAGAACCCTACTGTGTGCCAGGCCTTGAGTTATACGTCAGGGAGCTGTATCTCTACAGGCCTGGCACACAGTGCGGGCTCGATGCATGTCTCTGGACATTTATTTATTTGTCAGTTGGATTAAACTCAGGGCCTTTGCACTTGCCATGCCTCCAGCCCCTTTTTGCATTGGTTATTTGTCAAGGCAAGGTTTGGCTTGACAAAGGCAAGGTTTTCTCTAGGCTGCCTGGATGGTGAGCCTCCTGTTGGTTAAGATGGAGTCTTCTGGGCTTTTCCCCCCCAGCCTAGACTCAAACCATGGTCTCCCTGATCTCCATCCCCCCCAAGTAGCTAGGATTACAGGCATGAGGCATGGTACATGGCCACGAAAACTCTCCTGCAGACAGAAAGCAGTGCAAAGCAGAGCTGTTAGAGTTGGCATGGGGTTCAAGTTTCAAATTCCACCTCTATTCTCCATTGGTCCTTACTATCTCATTGGCAACCCTAGACCAGTTCCTTAACAGGTGTGGGGCCCAAGTTCCTCATGTGTTCAGGAAGAATACATAGCGCGGAAGAATACATAGTATGGAATGGTGATGGCTAGTCACTGTGCGTCTGAGGCTTTCAGCAGGGTAGCTAGCAGGCACTCCCTAAACGGTGGATGATTATGACTCAGAGCCAATGGGAAGACAGGAGTCATGGCGGAGCAAGGAGTGCATAGGGGCAATCAGAGAGAGCTTCCTGGAGGAAGAGATCCTAGAGGGAAGCCTTAACAGACAGGGCAGAGTATGTGGGGAGAAGAGTGGAAGGCTTAGTGGGAAGGAGGAGACAGGAGGAGGCAAGGTGTTCAGGATATGTTTCAGAAATCGAAGCACAGGTGATGGTGTAGATGTGTCACGTTGGGGCAAGTTCGGGCTTGATGTGAGGGGGAGCCACGGAGGATGGGGGGAGCTGAGGCCCGGAGTCGGGGTGAGGCTGGGGACGGTGGTGGAGGCCGTGGGGTGGCCCCCCCGACGCCTAGCAAGTGTTTTCTCAGCAAATGCCTTCTCTAGGTACTTGGACCCCAGGCTTCACAGTCATCTTCCAAATAGCGGGGATGGTGACCCCCATTTAACACACGGACATGGTAGAGAGCTGTATTTGGGGTACCGAGATGACTGCTCCGGGCTGGGGAAGCTTTCCTACCAATGTTGGCGTAAGCCTCCCCAGCCTCTTCATCCTCTTCTACATCACACAGCAGCCTAGTGAACTGGTCGCAGTTGATGGTTTCCGGATCGGCTTCTGGGAGTGAGAGAGAGAAAGCCTTTGGAATGGAGAATGGCTGAGGCGGAGGGTGGAGGCGCAGGAGCTGTCCCTGGTGCTGACCAGAGCCTGGCGCCGGGTTCCTCCTTGGGTGGGGCGTTCTGTGGCAGCAGGCTGAGGGGTGGGGACAGATGGACGAGGCCGGGGGGAGGGAGGCCCACCTGAGCACAGCTCGATCTCTTCTCCAGCTAAGTCCATCTGGTCACAGATGTGGTAAAGGCATAAGGGGTCTGTGTCACTGTTGAGAAGCTCCAGGTACCCGCCCTCTGGCAGGCCCACCTCCATGGTGCCTGGCTGCCCACTGCCTGGGAAGAAAGACACACCCAGGATCTCACAGCGGGCTGGAGAGATGCCGAGAATCAACACCCACAGCTGCTCCCAGCCGGCCAGGGCTGGAGGCTGGGTTCTCTTTCCGCACCTCCTTTCTGCTCAGGGCGGTGGAAGAGGAGCTGGAGCTGCATCCTGGCTGGAAGGCGTTAGACAGGTTCCTGACCCTCTCTGGGCTTCAGCTTCCCCACCATTAAATCAAAAGCATGAAGCTTGGAAATAGAGCTGCGGCTCAAGTGGTAGAGGGCTAGCCTTGAGCCAAAGTGCTCAGGGACAGTGCCTGGACCTGAGTTCAAGCCCCTGTACCAGCACAAAAAGAAAGGAAAGAAGGGGGGCTGGGAAGATGGCTCCGTGGTAGAGCACTTGCCTTGCGTGCCTGAGGCTCTGGGTTCGATTCCTCAGCACCACATAAGCAAAATGAAAAAAGCCGGAAGTGGCGCTGTGGCTCAAGTGGTAGAGAGCTAGCCTTGAGCTGAAGAGCTGAGGGACAGCGCCCAGGCCCAGAGTTCAGGCCCCACAACCAGATTCCAAAAAAAAAAAAAAAACAACCCAAAAAAAGAAAGGAAAGAAAGATGGAAGAAGGGAAAGAAAGGAAGGAAGGAAGGAAGGAAGGGAAGGGAAGAGGGAGGGGGAAAAGGGAAGAGGGAAGGGAAGGAAAAGGAAGGAAGGAAAGAAGGAAGGAAGGAGCCAGTCTTGTAGTTCTTGTAGGCACGCAGCTAAAGAAAATCTCCTTGTGCCAGGGGGCACTGGCATCAGCCTTCTGGGTTCCTGGGTCAGACCTGTTCACACGCCCTAGCTGTCTGCTTATCATGCTGACATCTGCTTAGGTCTTGGCGTCTGGTGTTCTTCCATCAAAGCCCCATACTGGAACCATCCCCCACCCCCCTGCTTTTGAAGAGTGGGTTGAGGACGGAGATGTCACTGCCCCCTGCAGTCCTTCGCTGCCTGTTGCCTGGCCGTGCTGCCCATAGGTGTGGCCCTTTGGCACCTGGGTGTGCCCCCATGGCGTAGAGCCCTGGATTGGCCCTTCTGGCTCTGCGCTGCTGCAGCATTGGTGCAGGATGGATGGTGGCAGATTTAGATCCCATCCCACCCCGTAGTGGGCTTGAGATCCACAGGAGGGGAGGGGAAGGGCCGGCCTGGTGGACAGAGCAGGAGCCCTAAAGATACAATATGTGGGGAGTCTGGGGTGCCCAGCTCTGCTGCCTCTCACATTAAAAGATGGCTAAGAGAGTCACTGTCTGGGAATGGGGGGGGGCTACAGCATCGCTCCTCACTGACCAGCCTGCTACCTTACCCACCCTCTCCAGTCCCAGCACTCTTAAGAATACTGGCATAGCCAGGCTATGCATAGTGACTCATGTGTGCAATCCCAGTCCAGGCAAAAATTAGCAAGCCCCATCTCAATCAATAATGTGAGCGCTGTGATGCATGCCTGTAATCTCAGTTGTGCAGGAGGCTGTAGGTAGGAGAATCTAGGCCTAAGACTATCTGAAAAATAAATCAGAGTCTGGGCATGTAGCTCAGTAGAAGAGTGCCAGCCTAGCAAATACAAGGAGTGAGTTTGAGCCCCAGTATAGTATTCTCACACACACACACACACACACACACACACACACACACACACTCAACTACTGGCATTTGGCAACTCTGCCTCAGTTAGCTTGCTCATGCCCATGGCAGGAGGAAGTGACCTCAGCGTAGGAAAGCTGGAAATAGAATCAATATTGGTGCCGGTCCCTGACCTTGATTCGCAGGAAGGCGGGGCAGGAGTTGGCTTGTCACAGCCATGTGTTGGCACAGGCTCAACACCGGAGCCCTGACACTTGTGACCTGGGTCCTGCTGGACTTTTGGACGCCGCAGCACCTTCTGTGGCTTCCGGGGTCCCCATCCGTTAGATAAGACGGTCACAGGAGAGAAAAGACTTTCAGCAAAACTCTACGAGGATCTCAGTTCCCTGAGCAGTGGCTCAGTTAAAGGACAGAACCTGGTTTCCCCCACAGGGGCTTCACAGAGAACAGAGTCATATCACAGCTCCCCCCACGTGAGAGAAACCCATCTGGAAAGCTGCATGCTTCCTGACCCCCCCCCAACCTCAAGTTGGGCTGGAAAGCCAAAGGTCAGAGGTTGGGGAGAGAGAGAGGGAGCAATGGGTGGGGACCGGGCGCAGGGGACTCTGGGGCCGTGAGGCCTTTCTCACGCAATGGCAGTGGTGACTTTAGATCCTCCCGCACCTGTCTCAGCCCACGGAATATGCACCGCCAACGGGGAGCCCGGAGCAACCCCCCTCCAGTAGTTTGGGGAGGTGAGGGGTGGACTGCACCACCACACTAAGAACCCACTAGGTGCCGTGGCTCACGCCTGTCATCCCAGCTACTCAGGAGGCTGAGATGGAATGGCTTCATGGGAGACGATTTGGTTTCCTCCCCCCCAAGTGCCACCTGGAAGTCAGAGCCCCACAAAGATAGCAGGTGGCCACCTCCAAAGCCTGGGCAAAGCCCGTGGTGGCTGCAGACGCCCTCCTCCTCCAGAACAAGCTGGGAGATCTTGGAACTCCCAGGCTGGGAACGCAAGGGTAGGGGTGAGGGGTCCCGGGACAGGAGAGCAGGGAGACAAGCTGTAGCTAGGAGACCAGGGATGGCCCAGGCGTTGGAGTGGGCTCTCAGGATACCTGGGTTCTAATCCTGTCCCTGCCAATTGCGTATTAGGAAGGCTTGGCCAAAATGAAGCAAAAACAACTCCCTGGACTCAGTAGCTTTCAGTGGACGATGTTGGAAATCACCCAACCAAGGTGGCTTAAGCCCCAGGTTCCCAACCACTCCTCCCTCCCCCTGCCACACACACACCAAATCCTGGGCCTGGAGCTTAGAGGAGAGCCCTGAGTATGGGGTGGGGCCTGGAGCCTGGGTAGAGCCTTGGGTGTGGGGTGAGCCTGGAGCCTGGGGACAGGGCTTAGAGCGTCGAGGTGGGGCCTGGAGGCTGGGGGCGGGGCCTGGCCTGGAGAGTGGGGTGGAGCCCGGAGCAGGGGGCAGGGTCCAGGGTGTGTGGGTGGGTGGGGGACAAGCCTCTCAGGGACCCTTCCCACTCACGCTGTCAGCTTTCTGGAAACTACAGTTTGGATAGTGACTCTGAACGCTTCTTTTTCCCTTCTATTCCACCCCGGCGCAAAGGCAAGAAGCCCCATTTTCCTTAATCACCCCCAGGTGGGGGCCGTCTTTCCTGTTGAGGACACAGGTGGACCGCCGACGGCTCCCTGCCGAAGGGCGTGCTCTTGACTGCCTGGAGAGAGGCCCTGGGCCTCCTAACCGTGTCGCCCCAAGCCGTGTCCCCCCCAAAGCCATGTCCCCCAAGCTGTGTCCCCCAAGTCATGTCCCCCCAAGCCATGTCCCCCCAAGCCGTGCCCCCACTAAGCCGTGTCTCCCCAAGCTGTGTCCCCACTAAGCCGTGTCCCCCCAAGCCGTGTCCCCCCAGCCGTGTCCCCCCAAGTTGTGTCCCCCCTAAGCCGTGTCCCCCCAAGCTGTGTCGCCACTAAGCCGTGTCCCCCCGAGCTGTGTCCCCTCAAGCCATGCCCCAATTAAGCGGTGTCCCCCCCAAGCCGTGTCCCCACTAAGCCGTGTCCCCCCAAGCCATGCCCCCACTAAGTTGTGTCCCCCCGAGCCGTGTCCCCCCCAGCGCCCATGGGGTGCGGTACTGGGAGGTCTGAAGTACACCAAGCTAGCTTAGTGGCTGCAGTTCTGATTTTCGGGGACACCCGCGGGGACCCACGACCCCCTCCCCAGCCTCTCAGGGTCTCTGTCTCCATTAAGCATGCAGTTTCAGACCCCAAGGGGAGGCGGATGCAGTGTTTTGGGGGAGCCCCCTTCGCCATTCCACAAAGGGGTCCGAGGTGAGGGTATCAAAGTCCTCTGGCCGCCGGGCCGCGGCCGCTCTCGGTCCCTGTGCTCAAGTGCCCGCACCGGCCACCGAGGCCGCCGCCCATCCCGCGTCCCTCCGGGAGCCCCCTCCCGGGGCGCCCTGCAGGTGCGGGGCACGCGGGGCCGGGGCTGGCGAAGCGCGCGTCTGTCCCGCCGCTCCATCCTTGCGTCCGTGTCCCCACACCGTGTCTGCACACTTTCCCGCCAGCCTGTCCCCGCCGCCGCCTCCGGTCCCCGCAGCTCCCTCCCGGCTGCTGCCCGGAGTGGGCCGGCCTGGGCACCCCCATCTCCGGGTCCCCGGGCCCCGCGGCGCGCCCTCGGGCAGAGCTGCCCGCCGCCTCCACTCCCAGCCCCACCTGGGCCCTGCGGAGGGGACCTCGGTCACCTACCGCGCTCCCGGGCTCCAGGCGCGCGCGCGCACGCGGTGCTGCCGGTGGCCTCTGTCCCCCGCCAGCTCCGGGGCTGGGTGAGCTTGGGGCGGCCCGTCCCTAGGCACCCCACCTCCCCACCTCCCTGCTCCCCTCCCCACCTCCCTCCACCCTCTCGCTTTTCTTTCACTTTTACATCTGCACCGCCCCAGGGCTTGAGCCAAGTGGGAGTCGCTGGCGCGCGGGCTGGGCGGCTGCTTCCCACGTGCTTTCTCCGAAGGAAGCGGCTTCGTGGAATCCCAGGCTGTGCCGACTCCACCGCGCGTGCGCTCCGGGTTCTCCTGCCTCCCTCCCCCTTCTCTCCACCTCCCCCCCCCCCGGGTCCGATCTCACAGCCGGGCTTGGGATGGGGGATGGAGGAGGTCTCCATGGTACCCAGCCACTGCTCCCGCAAGGCTCCGTGGCTCCCCAGCCCAGCGCCATGGTGGAGGGCAGTGACACCTGGATCGGAGTCAGTCCTTCCTCCTTGGGAGGTAGGATTCCCACCCCTTCCAACCACGCAGCGCAGCATCAATACCAGGACCATATCTTCCCAGTGATATTCGGTGGTAACACCCACCCTGCTTGACCTCTGATCTCTTACCCTTGAGCCCGAACACAGGATTTCCTCCTTAGCCACTTTATAGTGGAGGAAAACCAAAACACTAGTTAACAACTACTTGAAGGGCACACCACACCCAGCCAGGAGGGCCGGGCATCCAGCCAGCTGCCCCGCTGATAGAGGATGTCAGTGCCATCCATCCATGCTTTCTCCTCCTCTGCTCCCTGGCTTCTGGTTCTCAAATGCCACTTGGGGACTGTGGAAAGGGTGGGTGGCCAGTGACCAGGTCCAGATACTCACCAGCCACACCACAAGGCTGACTCCTGGGGGTTTCCTGCTTCCCCAAAGATAAGCAGAGGTCTCACCCTAGAGAGGCACTCTGTTTATTAAAAGGCAAGACCCAACAGCCACAGGACCTTGGTCTTGGCCTTAACCAAGCCAGCAATGCTCACACACGCACACATACACACACACACCCTTGAAAGTCTGAGCGCTGGCTGACCCCAATGCCCCTTTAGTGGGGGGGGGGGACCGTGGATTTGCACCTTCCTGTAGCTTCTCTCAGAGGAACCTGAACTCTTTGAACTGGCACCCTTCCATTCACAGCAAGGTCTCTGTTCATCCGGCCTGGTGTGCCGGAGACCTCACTCTAAATGAAGATGCATGCTCAGCTCCAACATTCTCCCCACCCAGTTACCTTGGGGTTCAGGCAGGTGGGGCCCCAGAGGGCATGGAGCCAGGCAGCGCATGGTCTGAGACCCGAAGGGAGGAAGTGGTGCCTGGAGTCGGCACCCCTCCCTGTCTGCAGGCCTCCCCCAAGGATGTCTGAAGTCCAGGGCAGCAGCGGGGAACGCATCACTAGCCTGTCTCCCTTCACACAGGTCAGGAGCCCCACAGCCAAGCTAAGCCAGCGTGCAAAGGAAGTAAGCAAGGGACCAACAGAAAACTCTGTCCTTGCCAGGTATTCTCAAACTGTCAGATTTCCTGTGTCTGTATACCCCCTAATTTGCCCACGCTCCCTTAACCCTCTGCGGGCCTCTGATGTTAATTTCAGTTCCTCATTGTGGACCAAATTGGGTGACCACACAAGGTTGCCAGTTGTCTGGTGGTGGGGACCTGGAGCACTCTGACACTCTTGAAGTGACTGTCACCAGGGAGGCACACAGAGGCCAGCTGCCATGTATACTGTTCTCGGCAGAAGGGGGGCAGTAATGTACGGTTAGGCCATACATTCTGCTGGGGTGAGTGGATTCGGAACTTTCCTGTCCTAACCGCCATATACCAAATCACCTTCAATCTCCCTGGAGGTCCCCAGTGGTGCAGACATCTTTTTTTTTACTTTTTTGTCAGCTGTGGGGCTTGAACTCAGGGCCTGGGGTCTGTCCCTGAGCCTCTTTGTGCTCAAGGCTAGCACTCTACCACTTGAGCCACGGCGCCACTTCTAGTTTTTGAGTGGTTCATTGGAAATAAGAGTCTCCACCAGATGGGGAAAAACCAGGTGTTTAAGGATACAGGTGGATCTGATGCAACAATGAGAAGTACAAGTTGTCATGTCCAAAACGAGCTTTACAACGTCGATGCGGGGGAGGGGGTGGAAGGGGGTAGGGGGAGGGGGGAAGGAGAAGGATTGGGATGGGGGGAGGGGGCAGGCTGGGAAGGGATGGGAAGGGTAAACAAAGGAAGAGGCTGCAATGCTTGGTAAGAAATGTACACATTATCCTGCCCATGTAATTGTACCCCTCTGTACAGTATGTTCACAAATAAAATAAAATAAAATTAAAAAAAAAAAGAGTCTCCACCAGGACTTTTCTGCCCCCAGCTGGCTTCGAACCATAACCCTCAGATCCCAGCCTCCTGAGTGGCTAGTTACAGGCGTGAGTCACCAGTGCTTAGCCCAGATATCATTTTTTAACTCCAAGCTATTGAACACACACACACACACACACACACACACACACACACACACAGAATGTGAACTTAGCCTATCACCAGCATGCAGACATGATGCTAAATAATACTGACTCACACAGGGCAGAGTACAGCTTCTGGTCTCCGCTATCCTCCTGATTGGGTAGAGAAAGTCTCTGTCGGTGCTTAGTTTCTGTGGTTTGGAGTGTGTGGGAGGATTCAGTACTAGGGTTTGAACTCAGGGCTTTGCACTTGAGACACACCTTCCACTGTTTTGCTTTAGGCATTTCAAAAAGGTGTCGAATATATATGTGCCCAGACCTGCCTGGATTATAATTGTCCTGTTTATGCTTCCCACATAGCTAGGTTTGTAGCACCACACCCAGCTTTCTTGGTTGTGACGGGATCTCTTAGGCATTTTACCCAAGCTGGCCTCAAACCTCAATCCTCCCGATCTCTGCCTCTTTTGTAGCTGGGATTACAAGTGTGATGTTCTAATGCAGGTCTTCCCTTTTCTTCAAGTCCTCCAGCAGTCAGCAACATCTGGCTAGAAGTGAATAGTGTCGCTCTGTCACCGGGCACTTACTTCCCCTTCATGGTGGGATGTAAAATTTCCTCTGAAAATGAATGACAGACGGGAGCCTTGTACAAGCAGGGAGCTTACAGAACAAGCACAGATTGTCAGGGAGATACTGGACAAATGATGCTTGGGGAGCCTGTATGCACTATTGCTGGAAACACTGCTGGGGGGGGGGCAAGTGTGTGTGACACCACAGCCCTCCCTTCCCATCTGGTCTCCCTTCCCATCCTCCATGTATGAAATGACTGGGTGCCTATCTCTGTAGAGTGAGCATTTCAGAGGTCTCTCAGAGGAAGTAGACAGACAAATGAGAAACATTAAGACTCAATTAGAAACAGTCTTTGATTAAAAGAGCAATGACCCAGGACCTGGTTCCAAACAAAGCAGCTATGTCAGGGTAGAGGCTGGTATGAGAAGGAGCCAGCTTGGGGTACTCTTGGGATGGAGAGATGGGGGGAGAGGAGCAGGGAGGAAGGGTTGATGTGACACGAGGCCTCCTCACTGTCGAAAGACCTCCCATTGCCCAAATGGTGGCCATTCTCCAGAGCCCAGGCCTCCTGGGAGCAAAGTCAGCACTATCCTGACTCCCTAAGCCAGGGGGCTGGAGGCAGCCTTGCCCCGAGGATCCAGATTTCCTGGTCAAGTCAGGATCTGACTACCAAGGAGAGGAGTGCTACATGATCAAGGTGGAGTCCTCCCCCAAGCCCCGAGGAGAGATGGGGTACTAAGTAGATCTTCCAAGTAAAGAAGAAGGAACCAGAATAGCTCACACCTGTAACCCTGGAGACTGAGATCTGAGGGCCGCAATTCAAAGCCAGCCTGGACAGGAAAGTCCCTGAGATTCTCCTCTCCAGCAAATAACCAAAGAGCCAAACGTGGAGGTGTAGCTCAAGTGGTAGAGCACCAGCCTGGAATGAGTGGAGGGTGTGGGTGTCAGTGGTGGTATGGTGGTACACACTGTAATTCCAGCTACTCAGGACGAGGGGAGAGAGGAGGATCGTGTCCAAGCCTGGCCCAAGGCCCAAGGCCAAAGCACGAGACCCTCCCTAAAAGAAAAACTAAAGCCAAAGGGCTGGGGAGGAGTGTGTGTGTGGCAGAGCAAGGATCTCCAGTCCCACCAAAAGAGAAAAGAGGCGAAAATGGGACCATCACGGTGACGGAATCTGTGGAGAAGGGGCTGTGATCAGGTGGGCACACAGGCAGATGGCTGGGCAGGAGGTGGTAAAGACTCAGGTGAGCTGCCCCAGGTAAGGGCCGAGAGGGAACAGAAAGCCCCAAGGCATCTGCGGCTGGGCCAGTTGGGCTGCCAAGTTGGTGGTTCTGGGCTGGCTGGCTGGGGAAAACCCAGGGAAGTGCCAACTTCCGGGACAGGAGCTTCTCCTAGTGTGGGTCATTGGAGTGAAGGAAGTGGGGCGGGGATGGGGGAAGAGAGTCCTTCCTGCCTCCCAGCTCCCTTGAGGAGGGCTGGGTGGGCTCTGGGAAGACACAGCCTTCCTCCTCTCCTCTCCTCCCCCTCCACCCCCCTGCCCAATGGGGCAGGAAGCTAGAGAGAGAGAGCTGAGGGCCTGAAGTGTGCCTCTCCCCTTGTAATAAATCAGGTGACCTACTAGAGACAGCCTTTGTCCTGTGTTCTAGAATAGTCTCCCAGGAGGAACCCCAGAGACCCCAAGGCAGCAAAGTAAAGAGGAAGAAAATCAGAAGATATTCGTAGAGTCAGGCTGGGGCCTCCTGGGGGAGACAGGCTAAAGACAGCCCAGGGTTTCTGCGTCCACCGGCAAACCCAAGGCCATCTGGGGCCTGGTCCTGTCCATGCACGCTGGCCTGCGTCCTCAGAACAGCGATCCTGAGGCCTGGAGCCATCTCCACATAACAGATGGAGATTCCTCCATGTGAGGAATTCCGGGCAAGGTTCATATTGCATCATTGGGAATTGGGGAGCTGGGGCTGGCATGCATGCTGTTTGAGTTGCAGCCCTTGTGCTGATGGGGTGTGCCAGTCTGGGGAGTGGGCATGCTGCCTCATTTCTTACACATGCACAGCTCCTGGGCACACAGCCCTGCCTTCTGCACCCAGCAGGGTCTCCACGTTATGGAGGCGGCAGACATGCTTGATTTCTCAGCACCCAGCAGCCTGGTTATTTTCTATCGATGGCTGCTGGCTGCTCTCCTGTGAGCTGTGAACTCTCAATGCGAAGCCCAGCCTGGAGACCTGCCCAGCTCCCTTCTTATTGAAGTCTGGAGATTATTCCCCAAGAGATTTTTGTGAATGTGTGCCAGTCCTGGGGCTTGAATTCGGGGCCTGGGCGCTGTCCCTGAGCCTCTTTATGCTCAAGGCTGGCGCTCTACCACTTGAGCCACAGCACCACTTCTGGCTTTTTCTGAGTAGTTCATTGGAGATAAGCATCTCACAGACTTTTCTGCCCAGGCTGGCTTCGACCCGTGATCCTCAAATCTCAGCCTCCTGAGTCGCTAGGGTTTCAGGGTAAGCCACTGGCATTCCCACTTGAGATTTATTTATTTTTTTAATGACCCCAAATTAGAGAGGAGGAAACAGAGGTTCAGAGGGGCTTGGCCACATGACCTTGGCCACACGGTAGTCAGAACAGGGCGGCAGAAGCCCCTGTCCAGCTTCCAGCACAGGTTTTAGCCACTGTTCACCCCACCCCTCTCTCCCAGCTCCCCCTTCCCTGGCTTTGGTGGTGGGGGGGCTGTGTCTCTCTAACTGCTGGCTCTGAGCACACCGAGTTTCCTCACCAGTGCCTGGACTCCCAGCCACCCCCCCCCCTGCCCCCGGGCTTGGTGGAACTGAGTCTCACAGGCCAGGGCCAGTGCGGGGGTGGGGTGGAGTGGGGGTGGGGGGGTAGCTCCCTCCCTCCTCAGACACCCGCTGCAGCAAGGCACTAAGAAGCTTTCTGAATCATCAAACTGGTTTGGATCATGAACCTGCCCTAGATGGATTTCCCGTATCTTCTGTGGCTACACAGAAGAGGAAGCCGACCCAGAACATGCTGCAGGAGGCCACAGTCCAGGGGACGCCCTGGGACGCTCCCTGAGGCACTCTCCAGGCTGCCTGCATCGCTGCTGTGCCTCAGTTTCCTTACTTGTGAAGTGGGAAAATGGTTGTACATCACTTACCAACTCATCCATCCATCTACCCATCTATCCTTCATCTGTCATCCATCCACCCATCCATCCATCCACCTATTCATCCATTCTGCCATCATCTTCCCATCTACCCATCTCCCATCTCTTCATCCAGCCACCTACCCATATATTCCCCCTCCTTTCACCATCCCTCCATCTCTTTCTTCTTCTTTTTTTCTTTTTTGGTCAGTCATGGGGCCTGAACTCTGGGCCTGGGCGCTGTCCCTCAGCTCTTCAGATCAAGGCTAG